TGGTGCAAAAGTCACTGCTGCTCACCTCCCATTCCCTTGTTCTTTAAGAAGCCGTATTTACAAAGGGTACAGTGAAGTGCTATCTAGTCCCATTCCCCTCCATTTCTGGGTTTGCTGGCCTCCTACACTAGGCAGTTGTGTCAAGTCTGCAGAGGGAAAGGTTAACCAGCCATGGACCTGTCCACTTGGAACTGGGATCCTCATACTGTAGGGCACTGGTTCTTAACCTTGGGTTACTCAGGAGTTTTGGACTGCAACTCCCAGAAGCCTTCACCACCAACTGTGTTGGCTGGGGTTTCTGGGAGTTGCAGTTCAAAAACATCCGAGTAACAAAGGTTAAGAACCACTGCTGTAGGGTATATCCAATTAGATGTTGAATGAACAGGGCTTCAGTTCTAAAGCTTTTTCTTATTTTATAAGCAGCGTTAGCTATAAACCATTGAGATCCGTAACAAGAAACTGAAGAGTGGAATGTTCCTGCTCAGGATTCAAGGCTGCAGTCATGACCTCTTCCAGGTGACTTTATTCAATGTCCTGGCCACAGCAGCCAGCCAGCATCCCATGCCCATTGAGCATACTCAGTCCTCTATAGACCTGAACACCACATCATCCCAATTAAAGAACCTTGAATTCTCTCCTCAAGGAATTTACCTAGTGCCTGTATTATAATCTTCTCATGACATAGTAACTTTTTTCCACCAGGCACTTGAATAATTTGTTCTAGTGTTTTTAGATCTTAACATACTCTGTTTTGCTAGGTGTTGGTGCTTTCATTTTATGTGCTGTTTTTATTCTTCCATGCAAGTTTTATCTTAGTTTTTTTTTTTTACATGCTGGTTTGGGGCAATCAGGCAAGTCTGACGATACCTGCCTCATATCTATGGAAGACACTATTTTATATACACTGTATCACAGAAGTGAGTACACCCCCTCACATTTCATAAATATTTTAGTATATCTTTTCATGTGGCAACACTGAAGAAATGACACTTGGCTACAATGTAAAGCAGTGAGTATACAACTTGTAGAACAGTGTAAATGTGCTGTCCCCTGAAAATAACACAAAACACAGCCATTAATGTCTAAACAGCTCGCAACAAAAGTGAGTAACATAGAAGAATTTCAAGGAAGTCACCACCTAGTGGACTGAAAACAGACAACAGAAAATCAGAGCAAAACTGCTAAGCCCCAGTTCTCAGTTCATGTCTTGCTGGACCACAAGAATCCAGCATCTCCACAAACTGTCCTGACTCTGATGACATGGACACACAGAACTGTCTGTCATCAACATATCAATGGCACCCAGCTCCAAAATCCCCTGACAACTTCACCTAGTGGTGGAACCACCTTAAACCCTACTGCATATGGCTGGTCAGATAAGACACCACTGTTTAGGATACCAAAAGCAGCTGAGAGATACAGGAGAATTAACAAGGTATCCTTCCCACCCATACCGGTGTCTAAGAATATTTTGGATCCTGAAACCACAGTGAAATGGATCTAGGTTGGGGAGGGCCTCCTCCAGATGTCCAAAGGCTACTCAGAGCCATTCTTGGACCTTGGAGGGCCACACTGCTCCTGCAAGTGACCTAGGAGAAAAAGAAAATATTTTTCTTTTCTAAACATGTTATTTTTTCTGGGGGGGAAAAAACCTCATGTGCTCTACTCACCCAAATTTGATGGAGAGAAGAGCATGGATATAAGCATGTAGACTGGATAGAACACTGTCTTCAACACCTGCTAGAGGCACAGGATAATTCCTGAAATTGATTTTGGGGGTGTGTGTGTGGATAAGATGGAGATGTGGTGGTGCTGTGAACCACATTTGGGTCCCTGAGAGCCCCATGCAGCCTGCAGGCCATGCTCTGACCACCCCTGATTTAAATAATCAGCTTCTTCCAAGGATGTGTGAAGTTGCCCTACCCAGCCACCAACTTTCAAGCATCTTACAGCTGCTTATAGAACTGTACTCTGAGAGTAGTTATCAATGGGTCCTTCTCAAAATGGGAAGAGATAACAAGTAGGGTACCACAAGATTCGGTCCTGGACCTTGTGTTTCTCATCATTTTTATTAATGACTCTGATGAGGGAGTGCAAAGAATACTTATCATATTTGCAGATGATACAAAATTGGGCAGAACAGCTAATACTTTGGAAGACAGGAACAAAATTCAAAAAGTTCTTGATAGGCTTGAGCACTGGGCTGAAAACAACAGAATAAAATGTAACAAGAATAAGTGCAAAGTTCTACACCGGGGGTGGGGGGGAACCAAACATATAGTTACAAGATGGAAGATACTTGGCTCAGTAATATGAGTGAGAAGGATCTTTTAATTGTTGTAGAACGAAAGCTGAATATGAGCCAACAGTGTTATGTGGCTGCAAAAAAAAAGTGAATTCTCTTTTAGGACGCATTAATAGTAGTCTCCTGAATTATCTTTTAGGACGCATTAATAGTAGTCTCCAAATCCCATGAGATACTAGTCCCCCTCTATTAAGCAGTGGTTAGACTTCTTCTAGAGCAGTGGTTCTTAACCTTGGGCTACTAGTGGTTAGATTTCTTCTAGAGCAGTGGTTCTTAACCTTGGGCTACTCAGGTGATTTTGGACTGCAACTCCCAGAAGCCTTCACCACCTGCTGTGCTGGCTGGGATTTCTGGGAGTTGCAGTTCAAAAACACCTGAGTAACCCAAGGTTAAGAACCACTGTTCTAGAGTACTGTGTACAATTCTAAACACTACACTTCAAGAAGGATGCCAACAAATTACAATTCTAAACACTACATTTCAAGAAGGATGCCAACAAACCAGAGCAAGTTCAGAGGAGGGTAAAGAGGATGATCAGGGGATTGGAAAACAAGGCCTATGAGGAAAGACTAAAATAACTGAGAATGCTTAGCCTTGAGAAAAGAAGACTGAGAGTAGATATGATAGTATGTTTCAAATACAGTATTTGAAAAGATTGCCATACAGAGGTAGGGTAGGATCTCTATCATCCCATAAAGAAGGAAACTTAAAGATGGGCTCAAGCTACAAGAAGCCAGATGTCAGCTGAATATCAGGAAAAGCATCCTAACTGTTAGACCAATACAACAATGGAACCCATTACCTCGGGAAGTGGTGAGCGCTCCAAGGCTGGGGGCATTCAGGTTAGACCAAACAACAATGGAACCCATTACCATGGGAAGTGGTGAGCGCTCCAAGGCTGGGGGCATTCAAGAAAATATTGAACAACCATCTGCCAGATCTATTTTAATTTGGATGGATTTCTGCTAGAGATGGGGGTATTCATATACGAATACCCCCACACAGGTGTTGTCAATGAGGGTCCAGCCCCATGGGGCCGGACTATCCACTCACTGATCCGCTGCGGAAGGCATGATTCTACAAATGGCTCCATGGTGCACAATCCGCTCACCACTCTTTGACCTTGCACCTCCTGCCAGGAGTGCTGAGCAGATTGCACGCTGCAGAGCCATTGGTAGAATGACACTGTCCGCGTCCATGGCGAATTGATGAGTGGACCATCCAGTCCCATGGGGCTGGACACCGTCCGCATCCATGGCGGATTGGTGAGTGGACCATCCAGTCCCATGGGGCTGGAAACTCATTAATGCCACCCGTGCGGGGATAGTCATATTCGTATACAAATACCCCCATCTCTAATTTCTGCACTGAGCAGGGGTTTGGACTTGATTGCCTTCCAACTAAATTTTTCTATGATTCTGTATTATCACAAGACAAAATATGATTAGCACTGAATACTACTATGAATGCCAGCAAGCTGAATAAATTTTGATGATTTTAAAAAGCCTTTTCAGGAAAAAGTAATTAAACTAATCAAAACTTCTAAAGAGATTGAGGATGGAAGAGGCCAATCTAGAATTTTACACCTTTCTTAATTCTCCAGTGTCTGTTTATATTTAAAACTGAGCCTTCCCTTGAAGTGTCATGCAGGTTCGCTGTACTAAAGCACTGTCCACCGCTCAGTAGAAGGCTTACTGATAACTTCTCCAAAGCTGACAAGAGTCTTTGTGCAACATCATGTAATAAGTGAAGCAAAATCACACATACCACCTTCAAGCACTGCCACTTGGACTTCCTGATTCCCACGTTGCCTAAATAATGGTATTTCTCCATTTTACCTAACCTTAGAACACATCTGGTAAAAGACCTGCAAGTCTTCTTGAATGCAACTGTACACAGTGTTTCGGGTTATGTGCTGTAGGTACCGTTCTGTGTTTCTCTAGATTCCAACAAAGACGGGAGGATCCCGTTTTTAACCTTCTCTCTCTACATCTGCCATCTTTTTTCTTGCCAAAAACATAGAGAAGAGGAAACCAATGCCTTATGATTGGTAGTACCAGGAGCTCTCTGGGAGCATCCTAAGAACGAACTCATGCATCAAGTGGACTTGTGGCCACCAGCCCGACAGGCAGACTGCACAGCAGGTTTTGCAAAAGTTGGTCCAACTGGACAGCTCAAGGTAGCATGCAGGGGGCTTCAGCCCTTTAGTCCCCAGGCTGAGCCAGATCCAGTGCCTGGGGCCCAAGGTCATCCCGTCCACAATTTGAACTGAGCGCGTCCCAACGCTACAGAGCTTCTTCTTCCCTCCCTATCTCTATATACGTGTGTGTGCGTGTGTGTAAGATGACACCCGTTCTGGGTTCAAATGGCTTCCGCGTGGCGATGATCAAGCCCCACCGCCGCTGACCTTGGCCGAGAGGAATCCTATCCCAGGTTTTGCTGAAACCGGAGCGCCATCACTCTCCAGCTAGAGGAGGGCTTTGCACCGCTTCGAGCCTGCCTGAAAGCCAAGGCGTCCACAAGAAGTCCCTCACACGAGGAGGAAAGGAAGCGGGCGAGGATGAGGGAAGAGGCAGGACAGCTTCGCGGAGCGGCAAGAGGGCAGCCCCCCCCTAAGAGGCACGCTGGCCCCGAGGAAGAAGAAGAAGAAGAAGAGCACGACGGGGGGGGCGCCTCGCCTTTCCACCCCGCTCACCTTTCGTGACTTTCTTGGCTTCGTTGTACGTTCTCCACAGGTAGTCCTTCATATCCGGAGGCGGGGCGGAGGGCTGCTGCGGGGCCAGCGTGCACAAGGCAGTGGCCCTGACGCTGCCCTGCCCGCGGCAGCAGGCG